AGAATTTTTTATATATGTATCTCCTCTATCTATGTCTGCTGTGAATATATACATTTTTTCAAATGCAGTAATCTGTTAACGTAAAATTTTCAGATGCTCATGAAAGGTATGGAGCCTTCGGCATAGCCGAAGACAGCTCTGCTCTTACTTGTTTTTATTGTGTTACACCCTTTTCTCGCCAGAAAAAAAGCTAAAGCGTTCTTCTTGAATTTATTTCAATCAAGGGAGCTACAAAAATAAGTTAAATTAAAAATAAATCAAGTTTTTAAACAGTTTCAGCCTTATGTAGGCGAAACAGTGCCGAGATTACTCTTTTTTTTATTGTCAATCGCAAAAATCGTCATTGTTTTTTTAATGACTTTAGGAAGCTTTCAGATACAATGTTCATATTAGAGACATTGAAAGTTGGCACGAAATAAAACATACATATCTGTGAAGTTTGAAAAGTGTGCCACCAAATTAAAAAAATAATATTCAACGATTTTTATTGAGCTTGAGGCCGTTTTTAATGAAAAATATATTGTGGAAAGGCAACAATAATTTAAACAAATGGTAGAAGTGATAGCTATTTCGGAAATCACCACATTGCCTCATCAGACTTCTACAGTAGTCTCGAACCGGCGAGCCCACTGACTCAACCGGTTGCCTGCGCACTGTGTTAAGTTCGCCTTGTGAATTCTTTTGCTTTTTTCCACTATTTCATTTATTAAGCCAACTACAATCAAGCGCAGCTATTCCAGTGCTATTTAAACTTGATCGTGTGGTTGTTGGTTTTGTTGGCTTTTTGTTAATGTTTCTATTAGATATTAGAATGTTTAACTTTTAGGTGTGCTCGTCCTTAAGTTATTTGTTTTTGTTATTTTATGGCCTTATAACAATTATATAAAAGAAAATTGTTGAATATAATGGTTATAAGGCCATAAAATAACAAAGAACCTAAAAAAAGAATATCTGTCATCATAAATTCAAGATACCTCCAACAGTGAAAATGAAAATGTCATTTTTGCCAAAACGAACCAATCAAGAGTAATAGCACTAGTGTGCCTCTAAATGAAAAAGAATCAAAAAAATGATTTGCGAAACAAAAATTCAAAATTTTAAAATTTTCATTGGTACAGTCGCAATTCATTCTAAAATTGTTATATACATGAAGAAATTAATGTATATGTATATTCGTGAAGAATGCTGTAGGAAAATATTCGACGACAATATTTAATTACTTGTAAATAATTTAAATTAATGCGTGCGAGTAAACGTGTTTTCCGGCTGTGTATGGTGCTACGGGGCGTATACGTTACAGACACACCTACGGGTATACATTAGGGATGTCAATTTTCGGGGTTTTGTCGATCCCGGGATTTTCGGGATCTGAAAATACAATCCCGGGATTGTCCCGAAATTCAGGGAAAAGTACAACACATCTGTGATCATCCTATTATAGAATTTTAAATCAGATTGATATAACAAAAAAGTACAATTTATTGTAATTCATTTACATATTTATTAAGGCGATAAATCAGTATTTTCAATCAACAAAAGACAAACATAAAATTTGACAAACATATATGTATGTATGTACATATCCTCATTAATTTATAACATAGTTTTTGTACTACAAGTACAAATGCATATACACGGTCACTCACAGAAATATTTTGCATAGATTTTTTTTTGAAATATTCAGAATATTTTTCATGGACTTTTTTTGTTAATTTAAAAAAATATATATGTATGTGCAATTTTGAAGTTGCTAAAACATCCCGTTGACATTTTATATTTTTTTTGCCACAAAAAAAATCGTTATAAGGAAGAAAATGCCCAACATCGTCAGTAGAAAAAAATAAAAAAATCAAGGGAGTTTTCAGCAACTTTAAAGTTGCACTTTATTGTATTAAATTGAATGGGCTATAAAACTGCATAATAGAATTTTTTGTAAAAATTATGATTAAAAAGTTTGATATTTTTATGATAATTTGGTGAACTTAAACCAACTTTCTCTAAAGTGTGAAATTTTGATTTACATGATTTTTGTTGTAAAATGAGCTATATATTTTTTTTTATTGACAAAAAAATACCATGAAAAATATTTTGAATATTGCAAAAGAAATCTATGCAAAAGATTTTAGTAAGTGACTGTATTTGGTACAGCAGTAACTGCCTATGTAACTATATAAAATTTTTTAAATCACTGTTTGAGATCAATTTAAGATATTATCAGTATATTTAAGTAATAATAAAAAAGTTAACACATTTAAGTAAAAAATAAATATATAAGTGCATCACCTATTCCATTTTGAGCGAAGCAAAATTATTCCTTCTTTTGATGGAAATGCGATCTTAAAGAAATTATAGCATTAAGGGTTGCAAAAATTGTTGTTTTGCCCTTGAGAGGGGATATTTGTGATAAAAATTTAATTGGCTAACAAAAAAATTGTTTCCAGCAATCCCGGGATTTAAATCGACTAATCCCGGGATATTCGGGACTTAAAAAAGACCGACTAGTATACATATAAGCAAGAGTTGTTATTTTGACTTGTTTAGTATATCTTATATAAGTTTTCACTTCAATACAATTTCGCAATTAAATAAATTGATTTAAATAGTCCGTTTTCAAATATTTTGGATATGGCGCTTAAGAAGCCAAAGCGCAATGTGAATACCAAATTCGGTCGAGATCGGTCAAGTAGTTTTTGAGGTACGCATATAAGTGGGCGGTGCCACCCCCACTTTCCTAAAATTTCTTAAAAAATCTCCTCTTTGCTAAAGAGCGGTTGTATATATAAATTTTTAATAAATATTGATGAACTCCTTAGCCACAGTGCTCAAAAAATCTGAAATTCCGGTACGAACAAACACATATAAATTCAAGGCTGTTTTTAAGAAAAGTCGCCTAAATTCGACAATATTTATGCGATTGCAATAAATGAGCTATCAGTTTATTTGAAAATAGATTTAATTTTAAATAGTACTTCATATTTTGAAATTGTAGGAATTATCGATGGTCAAATTTAAAAAATTAAGAGAAATATGGGTCTTTTTTTAATTTACCAGATAAAAAATTGCAACAAGCCTCGTTCGACAATAGATTATTATATAAAATTTTAAAGGTTTATATATCTTCTTCTCAGTTAATATTCGATCTTTGAAATCGAATCAAAATTAGTTATTCAAAAACTCATAAATTTACAAAATCCTTTTTTTCTGACCTAAATCGACCAAAACTGTGAAAATAGGCAATAATATTTCTCATAAAAACGAATAAAATTAGGGGATAGGGTCTTGAAGTTTTCAAAAAAAGCATTTTGGATGGGCACCCTAGTGCGCATAGTAAGAACAAATCCAGGCTAGATAAAGGCAAGTTGTATCATTTACTATAGAGCTTCATGCCGAGTACTTGAAGACGCGTGGTTTTTGCGCAAATATTTCTAGAAAACTCTCTACTATACTACTAAACTGCCTACACCGAATAAAATACCTATGTATGTATGTACCACATTCATATTACATGTATATGTGAATGTAAAGTACGCACAACCTATGTGCCAACATTTATAATTGATCATCAACACCAAATCTGGGCGATGCATTTTATTCAATTTGAATATTATGCCGTTTGAATGTTGGGAAAATGTTGAGAGGATGAAATAGAAAACGAATAGTAGTAAGTAGCACAGAGTAGAATGTGGCCACGTGAACTGTACCACAAAAATCTCGCAAAGGATTTTTGAGAAATGTGTGCCATTGTTATAGTAAAATTTCGCAGGGCCGCCAGACCTAACTTATATTCGATATAATAAAATTTAAGGAATAAGTAGTGTTATATGTAATTAACAATGTAGATAATTAAAGGTAATCGGTTGGCGTATATTTATGTATAACTTTATTTCCATCTTCGTATGATGAAGTTAAAATATTTATCTACAAGAGTGCCAAAGCTCATACCGCTATCTATTGTTAGTAGTTTAGAAAAAAATAATTTTAAAATTTTGTCGTACCTTAAAATATTTGTATGCCAACCCAAAGATTGTAAGTACTTTACAATGATGTAAATTTTTTAGAAATATGTGATTTGCCGAAATTTCCGAGATACAGTTCACGAGGCCAAAATCAGTAGTGAATAGATGTTGGGTGCGATGTGAGTGAGTTATTTGTTTTAAAACCAGAAGAAAAGCGAGTGGAGCTACTACCTGCCAGTATGTAAATAAACGAATGCAAAACAGTGTGGGGAGGCAAGCCAAAAAGCTCAAAGCCGCAATTGCGAACTGACTAGTTGAAAGCAATGGCAGTAGGAATAGTGGCATCGGGAGGCAGGTGATGGCTTAAGTGAAGAGTATGCGGTAAGTGGGTGAGGCTGGAGTAGAGTACTCGCATTGTGTTTAGCTGCATTTGTACGCATGCAGATCGTTTGCCTTATAAATATTTGGTATACGGATTGCTTGAGTGCTAGGTTGCTGATATACATATTGTGCTTACATAAGTATGTAATTTTAAGCCCTGCAGAAAGTGCAACGAATCCGTAATGACTCCCAGAGTAATCGCAGAAGAGTATGCGACTTATACCACTTTTGATCTCTTTATATGGAATGAATTTTTCGTTTTTGTTCGGGCATGTTCTATGAAAATACCGATTGCTATCTTTTTTGCCCGAAGGGGTATGAAAAGTGCACAGCCACTATGTATGTATTAAAAAATAAAAGTAAGAAAATTGCGTTATTTGAGATTAGAACGGGGATCTTGGGTTAGTATAGCGAATACTCTCTGACTCACTCTCAATGCACTCATTTGAGATGATTCGAGGGCCTATTTGACTATAAGGGTAATTGCGACTAGTTTATACGAAATTTTACTCCATGCAGACTAATACAGGGAATTATGTCTTTAGGTTTTAGTCGCAGCCTTTTTTTTTGCGAGGGGTGTTTACTTGTTATAGCTGTATGCATGCGATTGTTGCTGCAAAGTAATTCTGTCGTAATGTTTTTTTTTGCTTATTCCATTTTCAGCTCCTTGGATGCATTCCAAATACCTTTTATTGGCAGCTCCAAGGATTTTGTGGTCTTAATTTGCAATTCAGGTGTACGCCACGAATTATCGCATAGTGAATATCCAACAAGACGTAAACAATGCGGCGAGGCACTCAAGCTAATGGCAAAGGCGAGCTATAGAGATGCCAACGAGGATAACTTGTCAGGTAATTAATGTCACTTAAATTAGAATGGGTATATTGTTGTTGTTGATGGTGATGCAAATTGGGTGAGAGTTTTGCACTATGCGGCATTGTTTTAATTTGAATTCAGATGATGAATGTCCTACTTGCTATGTTGGTGGACTAGACAATGATAAAGGACTTCAGAATTTGAGTGATGCTAATTAACTAAACAAAAAGAGGAAGAACCGTGAATTATATTAAAGCAATAAAAACAAATATTGATGCTAACTAACTGTCTAAAGAAGACAGATGTGAAAAAGATGTAAATATATCTTTTGGAATGTGAATTTTTCTGCTTTGTAATGTTAGTTTCTTTAAATTTTTGAACAAGTATAACTAAAACAATTTCCTGATCAATATTACTATGTAAATACATTTACATTTGAGGTAACAAATGCAATAGGAAATTTCTTTAGAATTTAAAAAAATTAAATTTTTTGCATTCACAAGGACGAATAGGTTATTTTTTATCTGATAAAGTTAGAAGAACGATGTTATCGAGTTTGTATAAGCCCTTAACATATAATTTTTTCAAAAACAAATACTGCGAAATTTCAAAGATAAAATTTTAAAATGATATTTTCAATATTTACCAGCCCTTCTGCATCTGTTTAAATTCTACAGGCTTTCCTCATTATTTTAATACCCATACTTCTTCTCTAAGCACATTTCTCTGAATTTTTTAAATCATTTTTGAATTACTGTCGTCAGAGGAAAAAACTAAAAACGCAATTTTACTATATTTGGCCCATGGTTTCGCAAATATATTGATATTTGTGTTTACAATTTACTATCGCGCAGTGTTGTATGTATAATGAGCTATACATTTATAAAAAAATATTTATTATTATTAAAAGAAATATAGCCAATATTGGTCAAGAAAAGGAGTTTATATTATTGCCATCAATGCAAATTACAAATGCCGAAAATCCCGGGTTCACTTGTTAAGAATCCCGAGATTTTCGAGACCTTAAAAAGTCCAGGATTCCGGGATCACATTCGTAGACCCAATACATAAGCTTGTCGGCTTGATAATAAGTTAATTTCAATTTCAATCCTCTAATATGCATACATACATATTGATACATTTTGGTATTTAAATTGTTGAAAACTATGTGCGTACTACAAAGCATGTATTATTTCAATTCATTAGACTATTGTCATTTATTCATGCAAAATATAAATGTATTTACTGAAATTGCAGGCCCTTCTTGATTTTTGCAAATTCAACTGCTTATTTATATAACTAATGAGTTTATATACAAATGTTAGCCAATTATTCCTGAAATCACTTCGTCAGTTGTCATGTTTTTCATAAAACCAGATGTTTATTAAATTAGAACTAAACCTAATATTTTGCACATACATATATACGCCATGCATACATATGTACTTCTGTTTTCCACAACCTGTTTTCTACGCCAGAAGAAATGCAACACGTACAAATGAATATAAGTATGTAATTATATTTTTTATATTACAATATTCCACAGGATATAAACCACGTAGAATTAAATCTCTACCAATGTTTGTATTTATGTAGAGATAATAGGAATACATGTTTGTGTATCTATGTATAAAGTTATGTGTTTAAAAACCCACGCAGCTAGAATGTACATAAATATAATATGTATATTCTCTAAATGGAATATGTTAAAGTTTGCCTCATAGGAAAGTTAGTACCACAACGAATTCTGATTTTCTGTTTGCATTACTGCACAAGTAGGGATGCAAACAATCGATTGAAAACTCGATGTTTTTCATCGATGCTTATACATATTTTGCCAAAATTGTTAAATTGAAGATACATCGATGTCAGGTTTGGCGATATTTTAAACATCGACTTTAGTGTGACTCAGACTTGCTTTGGATTCAACTTACCTATTATGCGCATACAATTTTACTACTCATTCTTTGGGGAACATTCAGAAATTACTAGAGTTAACTCGTAGTTTCCAGTATTAACTTTGGATCACGTTAACCGATTTCGATAATTCACAAGTGGTGAATTAAAGTCGGTTTTGTTTTTTGCTTAAAAATTACTTGTCATTATTTGCGTAAAAACTACTTGTTCTTAGCCCTAAAAGTGTAATCTACGTCTGCGAGGCGTATAAGGAATCCGGATTTTTTTATATTTTAGCACAAAATTTACTTTTTATTTGATTCATATTTTAGCTCATAGGTTATCTTTTAAGTCACATACGCCTCTAAGACGTATGTTAAGGCTATACAAAACTCCCAAATAGATTAGGCTTCTAGGGTGTAAAAAAACCAAAAATCGTGGTACAAGGCTCAATTATACTATTGAAATAGAGTTTTTATAGTGTTTCCATATCAATATCTGTTGCTTTTGAGCTCCATAGCCCCCTTTACTTGACTTATTCTCATGTAGTGTATACTTTTTTTGATCATGTTAATTTTTTTTTGGTTTAATAATTGGTCTTGATATTGTAAATCTAGTAGGAAAACGACCAGCCCGGGTCTGTTGGACCCACATTATTGCTTTCGTAGAGGTCCAATGGATCCGAACTGTAGGTAATGCTAGTTTTTTCCGCGGTAGACAAAGGATTAAAATGCCAACTTAATGATTAAAAAGGGACCTGGCTCCCGTTAGAAGTTCACCAAAATTAGGCCTTGGAGCTTTAGGCTCAGCGAATTACGACGATATGTATTTTTGTTCTACTTATAGGTAAGGTAAAGGAAGGCTAATTAAATATACGGAACTACATCCATATGTAAATAAATGAGTATTTCTCTAATTGAATTACAGAGACTGAATTAGTTGGCTGCGAAAAGCATTCAATTAAGAACTAAGAAAAGGAAGTAGTTAGTAAGGGGTATATATACTAGCATAACGATGATTTCCCGGCGATGCATTTTAGCATAGTATGTAGATGTTCATTTCTCCGATGCATCGAAACATCGATGTGTCGCGTTACTCCCCAAAATTTACATCCCAATGCATAAATGGACCATATTGTGCGCGGTAAATTATTGGTTCCGAAAGATTTGTTATTTTTAACCCTCGAAATTATGTCCCGTGGTGCCTTGGCGTGGTATGCAGGTTGAGCATTGAGTTTGCAATCCTCACGTAAAAACCCACATCCCAGACATATTAAGAATTAAGCAGCCTGGGACAGTTACAGTGCCAAATAAAAAGAAGAAAAAGTACCTATGCGCAACGTATTTATTTTCAGCTTCAGCCGCCAGTCCTCGTTAAACAAATTATTCCAGGCACGAGGAAAAATATTGGAGGCATGGGTTCCGTCTATCGTTATCGACTATCATCACTCTCCAAATAGCATATTGTTGTGGATACATTGATACCTCGTGGGCCTCGCATGCCATTAGGTTAACTCTTTATCCAAAAATGCACGTCTTCTTTAAAACAGAAGCAAATTTCAAACGTTCTGAAGCGTGAAGCGAAAGTGCGTTGTATCGCCTACCGACCTTAGTAAACTTTGAAGGGTCACTGTGTCTGTTGAAAAATAAGAAAGTAAGCATAACTAGCGTAAATTAGTGAAGATATGTGTAATGGAAATTGTTTTCTCCTTGATTTGCGCCGTAAACGACTTAGGCCAAGTTTAATAAAATACACCAGTAGCTTTTCTTCTGTATTAACTGGTGCTAATAGGAACTGCCAAGTGAAGCCAAGTCCTTTTCGGCCTGGTCTTCTTTTTAGTATTGAAGGCCTTCCTGTGCCACCATCAATGGGTGAATTGAATATACTCTCGAATCCGCCAGTAGCCGCCTCATCGAAAATTGTCATTGCCATGCTTCTGCGCCATATACTATCAAAAACCTGATGATTGACTTATGGGGTGCTGTTTTTGTATGGTGGGAGGCCATACAAGTGACATTATTATCAGTGTTACCGCACTTAAATGAAATACTCAGAATCAGAATATATGTGTGACGTTTACGAGGCTGATCCCGCGGTAGTACGGGTGCATATACCAAGGTAAGCTTTCTTATTGACTGTACTCTTTAAATTCAAGGTGATAAACATGCTTCCTTTCGACCATACTCTGCATAAGAGTTGATGCTCGGAAGCTATGTTGTTTTTCGGTCGCGAAAGAGCTAATTGTACCTCGCCATAATCGCGCGATGGGACTTCGATTCTGTCGTCATAGACTGGGGGTACGGTTTCGCCACCTCCTCAGTTTGTTTAAGAGTGCTCTCAGAGAGCAGGGGAGCCAGTCGAAAGGCGTAGATATTGGGTATCTTGGCTGCTACAAGATAGTAGCCTAAGTGGATGTTTGATCTACTCATCGTACGTACGTGAAAAATACGGTAGGTATTCCTTTTTTCCATCGCATCGCGATCGCTTTGGTTCTTCGACTTTCAACCTGGAAACACCAATGAAGTTATTTTATGTATGCTAGAAACTTCTTCTGCAGACTACCACGTTGAGGTGCAATATCTTGAAATTTTTTCTGGACTCCAAACTTAAGTGGAGGCTCAGAATTGTGGGATGAACATAGAAGGCTCCATTTTGATTGTTGATGAAAGGAGGGTGTTTAAGCGACTTATGAATTTCCCTCATAAACAAAGAGCAGCGAACACATACATGCACTTGTGTTTAAAAGCGATTCGCACGTTCTTAAGTGGATATGCAATTATTACGCCATCCTCAAACCTCTTATCGCTGATCTTAATGAAGTGATCACTCGCTGGCATTTCCAGCCATGTTCAACGCTAACCTAGCTTGACTATCACAATTAATAAATGGTAAAAGGGTCACATAGTGCACTATCTCTCTCTTTCTCTATCTCTCTCTCTCTCTCTCGCATATTAGGCATATGAAGTGCGTGGTTGACTTGACGTGCATCTATAAACCAAATGGGCTCATTGAGCTCGAAATATAAACAGTCGCAACAAAGGTTATCCCTATATCCTCTACTCCGCTAACTCTATAACAAATCTAAATTAAATTAAAATTGCCGTGTTTTATAAAATTCTAGACATTGTCCGGTATTTTT